AAAGCTGGTAGGAAGCATTAAGGCTCTGATCCAATGCTTTCATTTTACAGACGGAGAAGAAGAGTGTTTACTCTAATAATGGACATAGCTAATATCCCATAATATTTCTAATATACAAAAATAGCTAATGATGAGAGCTCGTCTCTAATAATGGAATTAAGTTTCCCTAAACTGCTACTTTTCACATGTAACTTAAGAAAAGGGCTCCCCTCAAATGATGAAGGGTACACTGCAACCCAGAAGGGCTGTATTCCTTTGGTCTTCCCTTCTGGAACTTGTCATACAAGCTGGAAAGGCCACAGCAATGCCTCCAGTTTACTTTTTAAATAGAAAGCCCTCACCCAGTTCTGTGCAGATGCAAATAAGAAAACCCACAGCACCAGGGGAGGAACTGCCTGTACTGTGACGCAGAAGATGGAAGTCAGGGCTAAGGGGCAGACATGTGACAAATAAGTCACCAAGGAAATTCTTTTTAAAGGAAATGGAGTTGTTACAGGAACTCAGAGGAACATATAGCCTAATTATTTCTTCCAGAAGAAAGAACAATGCCAACCACAGCCAAGTGCCTACTATTTTAACTATGTCTGACCTAATATATTAAGGCTAAACCTGTAGCTAACTGTTTAGAAAACAGCAACTCAGCTTACCAAGGAGGAGGAGAAAGAAGTTCCAACTTCTTTTCTTTACAGCATACACTATTCCTGGAGAAAGGCTCCCAGTCAAGGTGACTGAGCTGCTTTTTCTTATGCTGCTTGCAGCCCAGCTCTGAGACAGCCCCTGCCAGCCCAGCTCACCAGTGATCTTAATCCCAAACGTGAAGGGCTAAGCACCAGCAAATCTTCCGAAGAAAGTGAAGAAGCTAGTTGGCACAAATCCTTAATGCATGCACAGATGGAATGGAAAGGATCTTTAATTCTTCCATCCCTTCCCAGCCTCAGCACCTGTCTTGACAGGTGGCTCAGGGATTCTGCTGGCATTGAAATCAGGTAAGAGGAAGGTGCTGGGCTCTGCTGGGCTCCACATTCCAGTGTTTAGAAGCTGGTGGAACACCCCTCCAGGCTCGAAGATTCCCACTGCTCCAAGAAGGGCCAGGTTGCCCCTCCAACAGCTGGTGGCTCCCAACACACAAAGCTCAGCCTTAGCATGAAGCATGTACCCACAGTTCCTTGTAAGCACATCTATGATTCCCAGTAACTGCCGTAGGGAAGAGGTGGGGCTTCTTGTCTAAAACCAGTAAGCCCTCTGCCAGAAGTGGAGTGGAACAGAAGACTGGACCCTAAGTAAGGAGACCTGAGCCCTAGTCTCTAATTGTCAGCAGCTTAACATGTCCCCTTGGACAAAGGCCTTCCTTCCCTTCTCTGGATGACCTCTAAATAATCCTCTGATCCTTAAGATCTCTTTCAGCTCCAACATCCTAGGACTTCTCTGAAGCACAGAAGGGTTGCCAGAGGGTAGGAAAGCCCAGGTTGCCAGAAGTCAGGATGGTGTTCTATCACCATCCACCTACACTGACAATGTAAATTTTACATCCATCAGTCACCCACAGGTCCTGCCAGCTGGGATAACCTGGAAGCCCAATCTCTTTCCCTCCCAACCTTAAACATTTAACCCACCTGCTGGGCTAAGAGGTGTCTCCAAAGTGAGTGGAGCAGAAGTCAAGATTCCAGTGGGGAACAGCCTATGGCCAAGGAATCTGAGGAGCTGGAGTCTGGTCCTCATGCCACTACTTACCCAAGGCTTAGACATGGCAAGTAAGAAGGCCAACGTGCCCTTGAGCAAGCCTCCCTCCCCCTCAGTTTGCTCCTCTGGACAAAAACGATGGAGGCTTGGTTTCTGAGATCAGAGGCAGCACGACGATCTAGTCCCACACCTTCATCTGGGGGAGGCCCAGGGAGCACCAGTTACTGGCCGCACACAGGTAAATGGCAAAGAGCAGTGGACTGGTAGCCAAAAGGCCTGGCTTGGAGAGTTGTCAGCTAGCTGTGTGACCATGGGAAAACCACTTCAGCCCTCTGAGGCCATTTACTACAGGCCCAGAGCTCACCTATCACACCTATACCACCTACCTCAAAGAGTACTGCAAGGAAAGCCCTCAGTAAGCAGAGCGCTAAGGGAGTGTGAAGTTATCACTGCCATCTTCAGCTCAACTGCCATCTTCCTAAAGGACAGGTCTGACCACGTCACTGCTCTCCTCAAGAAATCTCCAATGGCTCCCTGTGGCATCGATTAGAAAATACAAACCCCTGCTGTTGGCACTTAAAGCCCTCCCCACTGGGGCCCAGCCTGTCTTCCCAGACTCAGTACACACTCCTCAAACATGACATTCCGCCTCCTGTCTCCACGGCCTGGCACGTACATCTTCTAACTTTGCCCTCTCCCTGTCTCCTTTCCTTCAAGGCTCAGGTAAGAGGCCTTTTCTGAGACTCCCCCCAACTCCTCAAAATACTTTCTATCTACTTTTATGTGCTTATACATTCCCTCAGCTGAGATTGTAAGGTCCTTCAGGGCAGGGAGTAGTCGGTTTTTGCCTTAGTATTCCCAGCACCTACACGCTACACCCAATATTTAATTAGCCTGATCTAACCCCTTCATTTTACAACAGAAAAAACTGAGACCCAGAGGAATTACACTTAAGCAGTCAACTCCAATGTAAAATTGAGGGCAAAGGATTAGATCAGGGGTTCTTTAATGCAAGGTCTATGAATTCATTTTGAAAACATTTTGACTTTTTTTAATATAATTTGTTTCCTTTATAATTTCTTGTATTTTATTTTATACATTTAAAAACATTATGAGAAGACGTCCTAACTTCACCAGACCGTCCAAGGGGTCCAGCACAAAAAAAAAGGTCCATTCAAACTCTAAAATTTATGCATGATAATGATAATCCCCTTCCTCACACCCCCCCCCCCAACATGTCAAGAAACCTTGCTCTCTGCCACTTATTCTGCCATGGGCAAGTCACAACCTCCTGCAGGCTCAACTTCCTCCTTTATGACACGAGGATTAGAAGCCAATTATCTTTAAAGGTCTCTTTCAGTTCTAGTGTCCTAAGCAGGGAGACTGGAGGGAGACCTGTCCAAGTTCTTTCTGGCTCTCCAACTCCCTGGTTCTCCTTTTCTGCTTGTCAGCTTGGCAAGGTGCCACATGATATAGAAGCCGGGCTGCAGAGATCCTTGAGGGAGGAGGGGAGAACCTTCCTATTGCCCATGGGGAACTGAAGGGGCAGCTCCCTGGGGTGGACTGAGGGAGGAGGAGTATGGCGATATCTGCCAAGGTCTTCTTCCTCCTTGTCTCCCAGATCTCCACAGCTAGACTGAGGCCTGAGGGGAACTCCTGGACTGGGTGTGGAAGGGCCCTCTCCCCGGTCCCTCAAAGGCGGGAAGGAGGTAAATCCTGGTTTCCCTGGCTCCACAAGAAAGAAGGGAGAACTCCCAGGGATAGAGAGGAGAGACAGGCAATTCTAGTGGGGGGTGAAGGGTATTATTTCCCAGGTTTCCTTGCTGGGGGCAGGTAGAAGGGTTTCCAATTAGAATGGGTAGCCCAGATCCCTTACTTCCTATTGTGAGGATATATCCTTTCAGTCTCATCTCCTCCCCCCCCCCACAGAAAGGAGCATTTCCAGTGGATCTGTGGGTAAGAACAGGAGCTCCCTAAATGTATGTTCAGGAAGAGTCCACTCTCAGGTTCCCAGCTGGAGGTGAGGAAGATTAAGTCCCCATCCTGCTGCCCACCTTCCATATGGGAGGGGGAGTAGAACTCTGTATGGGATGGTTGGAAGAGAAAAAGAGGTCTCCACAAAGGAGACAGGAATGGATAGATGAGTGAGTGGGCAGAGGCCACCACCACGTCTCTCACGGGGTGGGGACAGGTATTTAGGCAGGAAGGAGTGAACAAACGGTTGGGAAGACAATGTTCACTAAAGAGTGGAGGGTGTGGACACCCTGTATATGTACAGAAGCCAGGAGGAACATCCTGTTTGAGGGAATCACCTCCCAGTTTCTGCAGCTGGATGAAGCAGGTACATCTCCATGGGAGAGGGAGATGAGGGGGGGTTAGGGGAAGGGAGAAACAAGTCGGCAATCTCCCCTGTGGTTGACTTCCATGGGAGGAGGAAACCTTGTTTTCCTTCCCTGGGTGAGGGTCATCACCTAAGTGCCAAGGCAGCCGGGTGGCACGGCAAATACAAGTGTTGGAGCTTGTAAGACCTGAGTTCAAATCCTGCCTCACCTTTACTAGCCATTCCAATACCTCAGAGCCTCAAGTTTCCTCATTTGTAATGGGGATTATATCACTTACCTCATAGGTCAATTGTAAGATCAAATGAGATCATACACAGAAACCATAAACTTTAAAATGCTACATAAACAGTAGTTATTATTATTACCCCAGCTGAGAGAGAGGCACACGTAGGTCTCCAAGGGGGAAAGAATGATCATCCTTATCTCTAGGGTTCTCCAATTTGGGGGAATGGGCCAGGACCAATGTACCTCTGCATGTGTGCAGAGGGTGGTCAGCAATGGACTACAGAGAGACGTATGCTTTTTTTGGGGGGGATGGCCAAACGTGCACCCGGCTTTGTAAAGGGTAAGGATGTCAAGGAGAGAGGATCACCAGCTGGAAGGACGGGGAGAAAAGCACCCTGTATTGAGGAAGGGTGTCATCCCCAGGATTGACAGGTGAGAAGACTGGTGTATAGGAGACAGGTCCTCCCTACCTGGCCTGGTGTGTGTATGGGGGAGGAGAAGAATGGAGGAGAGGGTGGATGAATGGACATCGTCCCCCTTCTGCCGCAGAGAACATGGGTGGGGTAGGTGCTGTGGGAGTGGGCCGTCCTCTCCGGCCACCAGCAGGGGTGTGTCTGTGTGCGCGTGTAGGTGGGCAGGTGAGGAGGCTGGCAGGCTAGGGGGCCGAGGCGTGGGCACTGGGGGCGGTGGGAGGGAGGGGTCACGCCCCAGAGCCCCCGGTGGGGGGTGGGAGGGGGAGGGGACGGCGCCCACCTGTAGGCCAGGGTCATGCACTCGAAGAGCTTGGTGAGGGACGCGTCGATGGACAGGTGGCACGAGCTGGTCTTGCCGAAGCTGTACGTCTGGCACGTCTGCTTGTTGACCGTGTCGAAGTCGTAGCCCTTCTTGGGCGGGTGCTCGCGGTGCGGGGACGACACCATGAAGTGGCCGCTGTGGATGATCTGCTGACGGCCCCGCCGCCGGCCCCCGGACTCCTCGGCCGCCGCCTCCTCGTCCTCCGCCTCGTCGTCCTCGTCCTCGTCCGGCCCGCCGGCGGCGGGGGCGGCGGCGGGGCCGGGCCGGGGCCGCACCGGGCCGCCGGAGGAGCCGGAGCCCGCGGGGGCCGCGGCGGCGGCCGCGGGCTCGTCCGTGTCCGAGTCGTCGTCGTCGTCGTCGGGAGCCGGCGCTTTGAGCAGCACCGGGCGGGCCCCGCCGCCAGGCCGGCGGGGCGAGCACATGAAGACGTCGGCGGCCATGAGGGCGCGCCTGCCGGGGGCATCCCCCGGGGCCGGGGCCGGGGCTGGGGCTGGGGCCGAGCGTGGGGCCGGGGCCGGGGCCGGGCCGGGTTCGAACCGTCGCCGCCGCTGCCGCCGCCGCCGCCTCCCGCTCGCTCCCCGGAGGAGCCTGAGGCGGGGGAGCAGAGCGCCCGGACCAAGGCCTGCCTCCTTCCTACGTCACGGCGCGGCGCGGCCAATCAGCGGCCCGGGCCGGGCTCTTAAAGGCGCAAGGCCTGCGCCGCGGGTGTGCGGTTTACCCAGAGCCACGGAGGACAAAAATTTTGTTTTCTTTTTTTTTTAAACCAACACAACATTCGGGCGCCCCGCCCCCCACCTCCTTCCCTCCCCTTCTCCTGGGCCTCCTTCCCTCGCTGGGCAAACGAGACGTCCCCGCCCCTCCAACGCCTCCTCCCCGCCCCAAAGCAACTTCTGCGCCGCGGGGACTCCGGCCGTGCGAGCCCCTGCCGGGCTGTCCCATGCGAGCGCTTCTTAAGCACCTACTGTGTGCAGGGTCCAGCCCAGGTGGGGGACCCAGGCTCTGCTTGCCCCAGACTCCTGGCCAGGGAGGCCCCGAGACGTCTGAAGTGCCAGGGATGTAATAAATGGCCAGTCCGGCTCCACCCCGACATTCTGCCGAGGAGGAAGGCAAGGCACCCGGAGGGGAAGTGACACGTCCCAGAGCGCACTCCACCGCCGTACTATCGTTCTGCGAGTACTTATTAGGCGCCTACTCTGTGCCCCTCCCTGTGCTAGGCGCAGGGGTACGAGTCTGAAAAATGTAGCAATGCCTGCTTAGAAAGTTACGTGCAAACGGAGGGGGGATACCGAGGTAGAGAGATAAAAACCTAGATGTTGGGGAAGTAGGTGAAGAACAGGAGGTAGAGAGAAATAGACATGAGGACACCGGGAAAGATGGATACATAAGTAGATAGATTGTTATTGTTTGTCCTTGTCTAAGAGGCCCAGGAGTCAGGTGATGCCGGGACTTAAAAGTGAATAGGATTTAAGTGAGGCAGGGCGGTGCAAAGTCACCAGCCTCACCCTCTTCCCTGGAGGCACATGGGTCCAGTGACCAGATAAGATCTGAAGGACTGGAGATGGCCCCAGATGAAGTGGAAGACCTTGGCCTTTTTGAGCTAAGGTCTATCCAGGTTCTCACTTTGACTGAGGCAAAGCCCATTCAGTCATTAGGCCTGGTTAAGAAGTGAGCCTGGGAGTGGCCCCTTTTATCTATTAAAAACAAACAATCAGGGAGAGTAAGACCCTCAGGGTTTCTGGCAAAACAGAAACAATTACTATTTACATTACCTCTGAGTCACCCTGGCCCAAACAATGACCACTAAGTGGGGCTTGGGCTGGGACCTATTGTTGGCCAATCAATGCGGGCCAGAGTGAATTGGGTTTAAGTCTGGTCTTTAAGAACGAAATCTAGCACACAAACCCCAAGGTAAATTGGGTTTTCTAGGTTTCTAGGTTATCTAGGTTTCAGCCATCAAAATTTACATTCCTCTGGGGAGAGCACCCACAAGGGCATGATACCCCAGTGTGGACTAAGGGAGAGCAGGGGAAGGAGAGGAGAGGGGAGGAACTGGGTTGCCCCACGGGAACTGGCCAGTTAGGTCCCCAGTGGGGCAGCTTAGACCACTTACGGATTATTGTTTGTCCTTCCTTCTTGAAGAGGACCTTGACGTCACAAAGATGTTGCCTTGACTTGCAAGTGAGGTGGATTTAAGTGGTGCAAAGTCACCAACCTCTTTTTCTCCCCTGGCTCCATCTGAGTCCAGTGGCAAGATCAGGACACCTGCAGATGGCCCACCAATTAGATAGATTGATAGATATAGGAAGACTGAGGGTCCAGAGAATAGAGGTAGATTATAGCTAGATGGCAAGTGATACAAATAGGGAGACATAGATGAAAGATAGGTGGATGACAGGTGAGAGAGATGGATAGAAGAAATAAGAGCAAATATAAAAAAGCATTTAGCATAACACCTGGCTATGGCATCATGGTAGGTGCTTGTGGCCATTTACTTGTTGAAAGAAATACAAAGTGGTTAAATACAAAGCAGTTGGGAAGATTAGGGGGACTGGGAAAGGCATTATGCGGAACGTGGTGCTTGAATTGAAGAGGACATGAGATCATAAACTTTATTAAGCTCCTACCTACCACGTACTAGAATTTAAAAAATTAAAAATAAAAATAAAAAAAGAATAAAGTAGTTCCCGCTTCTTTAGGAATATACATCCTACAGATGAAGAAACATGAGACCCAGAGGTTGAGTGGTGTGCCCAAAGTCACACACAGTGGCAGATGTAGGCTAGTGCTCAGATCTCTGGTCTACGTTGGCTCAAAGTATTCTGCTGTTTTCCACACACTACAGTGATTAGTGTAGCTCTCCAGGCTTCTGGCCTGGAGCTCCCCTCTCTTGGGCAAGGGTAGATAAATTACCTATGACTGTAAGTCAGCCTGTAGGGAAGATCAAAATGAATTGTCAAAATACAGCCTTCAAAACTGGTGCCCCACTGAACTTCCCAACAAAGAAGACTTGGGCAAGGTGTGTCCTTCCTATGCATGGGTTTCTTCACTGTGAAAGAATCGTCCTAATCCCTGCCCAGAAGACCTCAAGGGAGATTTGCGAAGATCAAATGGGATCATGAGTATAAGAGCCTTAGTTAATCTGGGAAGTCTTTTATTCATTCCTTCAACAAACATTTAGTAAGCCTCTGCTTTCCACAGAGCCCCATGCTAGGCCCTAGGGAAAGATCCCAGGGAAGTGGAAGGAAGGGTAAACTTGAAATCTGGAGAAATTTAATACTCAGACTCAGACTGGTAGTAGCTGGGCGACCCTGGGCAAGGCATTTGAACCCTGTGAGTCTCAGCGTCTTCACCTATAAAATGGAAATAATAAAAAATGGTAGCCTTATCTCACAAGATTCTTCTGAGGATCAAAGGAAATGATGTGTATATATAAGGGAATCGGGTTTAATCAGGGAAGAGGGTATCCTGATGAAGCTGATAAGGTCTGCCAGCAATTTGATGAGCTTTTGGGGTACATAATGGGCATCTACCCTTGGGAAACATGGGCATGCCCAATGGGTGCCTGGTTGAGAAAACTAACCTACTTTTGGTTTTTTTGGTCAGGGTGTTACTAAACTGGTAGAGGAAGTGTTTCGGTCTGATAGGTTGAGACCCCTCAAAGACTAGAGTACAGGACTGGGTCATCTGGAATGAATTCACAGACTCAAGCATTCTTTAAGTCAAGGTGGCAAAGATTTATTGTTACACTTTTCAGCGGGCAAGGATTCTTAAGGTACCTTCGAGAGACATGATGGAGCTAGGGTTTATATGGAAAAGGGCATGGGAAAGGAATGCCAGGGATACCAGTTAGGTAATCCAAAGGTCTAGGTGTCTTTGGGAGCTATAGATGGGACAGTACAGGGAGTATACCATACAGGGAGGGAGATGACAGAGGCATGGATCTTAGGAGCCTGGCAGGAGGAAGAGTCCTTGGGCCAGCCAAGGACAAAACTCCTTGGGCTAGGCAAGGCACCCACCCCTTTCTCTCTGTCTTGATGAGAGAATGCTCTGCAACAAGGGAAAGCTTTCTCACAAGACAGGAACTTACTAAGAAATTGGGAGGCTTCCAGAGAATGATCTGAGGGCTGGGAACTGAGCAGCCCAGCACTCTCTGACCCAGCTTTGTGTAGCTGCACCAGGAAGAGAGATAAGGGTCTTGCAGGGGCCCACACAGGAGTAATTGCTAAGCACAGTGGCCTTGGGCTGGGGAGTGATTGTCAGAGACAGTGTTTCTGAGACTTGGGAGAAATTGGGGTCAAGTACAAGCACAGGCACCCAAACACAAGCACCCAAGCACCCCATCAGAAGTAGAGGATGGAAGTGGAAAGATCTGTGAAGAAATTATTTCCATGGTTCAGGTAGGTGGTAATAAGGGGATTGGAATAGAGGGATGACAGTAGGAATATTCATTCAACAAACATTCATGAAGCACCCAGTATGTGAAGAGCCGTATGCTAAGGGCTGGGAATACAAAGACAAAAATTAAATTGTCCCTACCCTCAGAGAATTTACATTCTGATTTAAAAAAAAAAGCAACATGCATGTAGATCAAAATAGATGTAGAACTGGAAAGGACTTTGGAGAATGTTGATAATTTTTTTTTACATATGAGGAAACTGAGGCACAAAAGGTTAAGTAACTACACACTTCCCATAAACTATTCCTCCATCCACCTCAGCCAAACACAAAGATAATTATACCCTTCATCTTGCTATCACCAACAAATGCACCACCTCCATGTTCATGAACTCTGAAATTCCCTTATCTGATCATTTTGTTGGCTCCCCACCTCTCCATCTGCCTTTCCCTACCAAACCCTGCTCTTGTCTGCACTGTGACCTGCAGTCCTAAACCCTCACTCCTCTCCCAGACTATCACTCCTGCAACAACCACATTATCCTGCTTTCCCTACCTTCACCCCTTGCTGAACCAATTCAACTCTACCCTGTCCTCCTCTCTTGAATCCCCCACCCCTTTAGCATATCACCAACAGCTGTAGCCTTGGGTCACTCCCACCGTTTTTCAGAAGTCAAGACTACATGCATGCTGCTGAACAAAGGTGAAGAAAATCATGCAACCATTCTGACTGGGTCCACTATAAATATATGCTATACCACTTCAACTTGGTCCTCACCACTGCTAGGCAATCCTTCTCCATCTCCCTTATCAGCTCACTATCCCATTCTCTTCCATATCTTTTCATCCTTCTTCAAACCTCCCATGACTCCCTTACCCCCATTGTCTTAGCTAAGAACCTTCCCTCATATTTTGCTGAAAAAAATAAGGCTATTTGCTGTGAACTCACTTTTCTACTCTCCTCCTTGTGAGAAATGAAAGAGTTAAGTTTCCACATAAGTAGATACAAAATCAGCACAGACAGGCTAACTTCTCCATGGGGGGGGAATGATAACATAATTCTAGGCACATAATGTATGTTAAGGGTGGGGCCTGTAAGG